CAATGCCACACTTATTTTCTTATGTTAGTCCTTGAAAACAACTGACTGCATAAGATTGTATACGATAGCTATATTCGCATCTGTGCTTTTTACTATTTAAAGCAAGTACAGTACATGGACTGTTATGTAATCATAAACATTTCCCGAAAGTGTAGATGACATAGTGTAACAATGAAGCAAACTCACTAGCAATAGAAAACGTTTATGATGTAATATGAAATGGAAAATTGAGGCTGCAGATTTATTACAACTCCTACGAGTTTAAATAAGCATAATTTTAAGATTATAAGTCAACTAACATAGCAAAGTGTTTTAGTCTGAAGGCCTGATACCTGGCAGACGGAGGCTTGAGTACCAGCCCTGTCACCTACCAGGGACGTGGAAGTTCTCTGAGCTCGTTTTCTGTCTGCCTTGAGGAAGGAACAGCATAAGTGAGGCAATATCCATTTGGCTTTTGGTAAAATGCATGACATGAAATAAGCTTCAACAGTGGTCATGGTTATTGCTAAATAACATCTATTTAGGATGATATTATCTGAAGTGTTTCCCCTTATTATATCTAGAGGAAAGAAACAACTTTTATTGGGGTTCTACACCATTTCAGGCAAAACCTTTATGACAGAAGAGATGTGAGGAGCCTGTTTCAGTTCCCTGTGCTCGTCTTGTGCTGTGACCCTCATGTGCTTTCCCGTATTTCGTTAGTTTACCACATTACGTTAGAAGCACCTATCTATGTATTTGCATCCCCGACTCAGGTATTTCCTGAGGGCATCTTTACATTTCTAGCACAAGTCTTGGCATAAAGAAGTTAGCAGATTCTTCAGTGATGACAAATGCAAGTGAATTCAAATTCTCTCTGCCATTCTGAGTCCTTTGGATTGCGAGGGAAGCCTGAGAGGACCCTGGGCTTGCACTCAGGCCGTTACAGTGACCTCAGGGAGCCGGATGGACACCGACACACACTCAGCCACTGTCCACAGGAAACTGGCCGTGGCCTCATGCCTGAGGAGAGTTGAGCAGGGAGAGAGCAGGGATGTACACGCATAATTTAAAGATCTTGACTTGGCAGGAAGTCGTAGAGGTGAAGCAAACTGGTTCCCTGCTGCCCCGCTGTGTGAGTCGGAGCCAATGCCCTCTCTCTCGGGGCTTCAGGTCACCCGAAAGAAGTGGATGAGATTAAATTCCTCTGACTTGTACTTAGTACAGGAGGTGGCTTCCTCTTTTTTAAAAAAAATTATTGTAGATTTATTGTTTTCTAATTAATTTCATTGGTACCCTTTTGATATACATAATGATCACATTCCTCATAGGATGTTTGCGCCTGTGCATGGCACGTCTTGATTTCTTCTCTTTTTTCCCCTTCCCCCTCCCCGCCTTTCTGTCCTTCTTCCCCTCCTTATTTACAAAAGCTTTGTGTCTATTTTTCCTTTTATTTTTCTCTTTTCCTTTTCTTCCTTCACTGCTGCCTTCTCCCTTGCTCTCCTTCCCATTTGAACATCTTCTTCCTACTTTCCAATATTGATCATCCATTCTAGTCCTTACTTGGACTTTATTTTGATTTCTCACACATGAGAAACAATGCTATATTTAAACATGTGTCTGATTTATTTCACTTAGAAGTATGGCCTCAAGGTGCATTCACTTACCTAAAAATATCTCGTGTATCCCTCTTTATGGCGGAGTAGTACCTCATATTTTCTTTATCCATTCATCTGTTGATGGGTTGTTTCCAATATTTAACTGTTACAAATTGTGCTGCTATAACCATGGGTGTGCATATATGGCTGTGGTATGATGCTTTTAACTCTTTCAGGAAGATACCAAGGAGGGGAATAGCTGGGTCAAATGGAACCTCTAGTTTCAGTTTTTAGAGGAATCTCCATACTGATTTCCATATTGGTTGCACCAACTTACACACCCACCAACAGTGGAGAAAGTTTCCTTTTTTCCCACAGCCCCTCCAGCATTTGTTATTGGTTGATTTCTTCATAGTAGCCATTCTTTCTGGAGTGAGATGGAATCTCAGTGTTGTTCTAATTTGCATTACTTGAAAACCAGTGATGTTGAACATTTCTTTACATATTTATTTGCTATTTGTACTTCTTCATCTGAGAAATATCTATTCATTTCATATGCTTATTTTTGGATTTGGTCTCTAAATTGGGGGGCGTCTGATTTTTTTTGAGTTCTTTATATATTCTTGATATTAGTCATTTGAAGACTAGCTGGTAAATTTTTTTTTCCATTGGTTTCTTTTGATGTACAAAAGGTTTTTGATGTGATGAGATCCCAGTTGTTGATGCTTTATATTTCTTGTGCAGTCAGGGTTTTGCTCATAAAGTTTTTGTCTTGAACATCTATGTGTTGAAGAGTTTTGCCTATTTTATCTTCCAGCAGATGGTGCTTCTGTTTTAACATTTAGATCCTTGATCCATTTTGGTTTTAGTGTAGTGCATGGTGAGAGATACAGGTCTAAGTTTAATCTTTGGCATGTGGAAAGCTAGTTTTCATAGCACCATTTATTAAAGAGGGTATCTTTCCAGTGAAGGTGTTTGACCTCTTTGTCAAAGATAAGGTAGCTGAGTGTGCTTGGAGTTGTTTCTGCATCTTCATTCTGTTTCATTGATCATTGGGCCTGTTTTTTTTTTTTTTCCAGTACCATGCTGTTTTTATCATAGTAGCTTTGTGATATGACTTGAAATTGGAGATTTTTATTTTTTTATTTTAAAGAGTAAAAGAAAGACAACACAGCAATGGGATTAACTAAATTAAAGACAAAGTGGTAGTACATTATCAATGGTTGTTATTTTGCCTATTGGTATCTTCAAGATAGTTTCTCAGGAAAACAAATACACAAATAATAGTGAGTTACAGACAGAAATGGCAGGAAGTTATCAATGGTTGTTATACTATAGCCTGGATTCTCCAAAGTGGTCTCCAGGGAAAACAAATAGAGCTATATGTGAGTGATCAATCAAATAATCATTGACTATTCTCAGTGGTTGTTGTTGAAAACACACAGTAACAAACATACATCCATTTACGAAATAGCATAGGAACAATACAAGCATTACATAGTTATGGACAGATTGGAGGAAATCATCAATGGCTGCTGCAATACCTGTTCGCATCCTCAAAGGAAATTGGAGATTTTGATGCCCCCTACCTTACCTTTGTTGCCCAGAATTACTTTTGCTATTCTAGGTCCCTTCTGGTTCCATATGAATTGTAGGGTTTTTGTTTTGTTTTGTTTTGTTTTGTTTTTGCAATTCTCTGATGTGTGCTGTTGGTACTTTGATTTGATTTGGATTGCATTAAATCTGAGTAACAGTTTTGGAAGTATGTCCATTTTCACTATATTGGTTCTGTCTATCCAAGAACAGGGGATATCTTTCCACTTTCTAATATCCTCTTTGATCTCCTTTTTCAGGTTACTGTAGTTTTCAGTGTACAAGTTTTCACTTCCTTTGTTACATTGATTCCTATATATTTCATTTTTCTTGATGCTATTATGAAAAGTATGGTTTCCCTAATTTCTCTCTCAGCCAGCTTATTATTTGTGTACAGGAATGCTATTGATTTGTGAGTGTTGCTTTTTTGTATCCTGCTATGCTGTCAGATTTGGTTATTAATTCTAGGAGTCTTTCAGTGGAGTTTTTGAGTTCTACTATGCAGAGTATTACATCATCAGCAAATAATGATAGGTTAACATCTTCCTTTCCTAGCTATATTTCTTCTGTTTCTTTCTCTTGTCTAATTACTGTGGCTGTGTCCAGAACTATATTAAACAGAA